TGCCAATTACCTCAGCAGGCAACCAGTAACCGGTCTTTTTAGTGCACCCTGCTGAGAGAATAATAAATATCTGCCTCTTGCAGTTTAGTTACACTGTATGTTTCCCTCTTTACCCCTTAACAACAGTTTCACCACATGGTCCCACAATGCCACTGTTGGCAGTCTTGGAGACCAGCGAACGTCTCAGAGAACAGCAGGACGAAAAACACCCTTTGGCGAGGCTCACTGTCTGCACTCAAGTCGAACCGTGTTCCTACCGTCAGAAATGAATCTGGGATTTAAGCATCAGTTGGGGAAGTCAAGTGCTTTATCTGTCCGATCTGGATTCACTCATCTACACTGGTTGCTCGTGCTTACTTTCAGCCTTTAGATATTCATGCGATGACGGCGTGCGCAGGTTCTCCGCTCCAGCTGCTTCTGTGCTGCATTTGTCAGCTTTACTGTCACTGAAATGTCACAATGTAGTCAGTTGTGTCAAGAAAGAAGGAATAGATCCTGACACGACTGCCTCTGCATACGCCTGTAAAATTTCAAGAGATTTGGTTTGCCTACATTTCATATCCCAGTGGGCCCCCGAGAGACAGTGCTTCCTGTTTGAAATACTGTGTGGGTCTGGTTAGAAAAGCAATACGAAAATACGGTTATGTCATATAATTTATGGTCATTTTGTTGGTTGTTGTTGGCATTTTGATGTTTTTGCCATCTTGTATTACTTAAACAAACCTACTCTTTAATTGTTTTATCAGAGTTATTATTTATACATATTGACAAAGCATTTTTGAGGGCTGTAATATCAAATAATATTAGAAGTTATTCTTTTTATTATTATTAATGTGCTATTATTAACTACTAAAGGGTACCTATAATGAAAATTTGAAAATTTCGGGAGCTGTTTGGACAGAACTGTGTGTAGGTATAGTGTGTCCACAGTCATATTGGGCTGATATAAAGACAATAAGTTCTGATGTTAAAATGGGATACGAATCCCGCCCATTTTGACGCCCACTGCAATGTGACATAGGAGTGCTGTTTCCTAACCCACCAAATTGATTGACAGCTGTGCATTAACATGTCTCCATAGTAATGCGTGTAATCATATCAACAAGACAGGACGTGTGCAAAGCAACCAGGATTAAAAGATCTGTTCAGCTCTCTTTGATCATTAGTCATCATTAAATGTGATCAAGAATGAGTTTTGCAGGTTCAAAGAGTTTTTAAAAACGGCACGTGTTTGTAATGGATTGCAGCTATTTTACCGTCTTCACTTTATCACCACAGCCGCTTGTCAGTACAATTATAAAAAAGATGTTTCAGTCTCGGCTTGTAGATGTTAAATCAGGATTATTTTGTACATTAACATAACTGATATTCATACAGAAGTCAATATTAATGTGTATTCTGTTACATTTGCCATGCAAAAACAGTGCAAAGTTAAACGCGAACAACCAATACTTCAAATATTAATTGGGAAGTTCGTACTATGGTATTTTTCACAAAGGCTATGCTAGATCTGCTTCCTTCATGTCTGTCTCTGTGCTGTTTATCTGAAGCAGCCAAGGCAGCGATTGGGGCACACTCTGACAGGCACATGGAAACAGTGGGTGGGGAGAACTATAGCATTAAATTTACGTGCCACAAAAACAGCTGCACTGTATTCAGAGCAGAACATTTCAATATTCTGAAAAGCATAATAAATGACATGATGAGTATTTAAAAGTGAAACTTTACACACACAAGATACAAAAATACTTATCTTAAATCTTGAAAAAACTGGTATAATAGGGTCTTTTTAATGTAAATTCTACATTCTAAATTGTACATGTATGTTCATTTATTAATATTATTTGTTTAAACTATTTACAAATGGTTTATTATTTATACTACTAATATTAAAAATAATGACCACAATTGAAATTATACAGAAAGAGCAAAGCAAATAAATGTCATATAATATAAAATAAAATATAATATAATACAATAAAATATTTTTTTTATAATAATAATGCTAGATTATATTCTATAATGGGTGGCTCAGTGTTTAACGCTGTCACCTCACATCAAGTAGGTCGCTGGAGTTTGCATGTTCTCCCTGTGTTTACATGGGTTTCTTCCAGGTGCTCCGGTTTCCCCTACTGTCCAAAAACAGGCGCTATAGGTGAATTTGGTAAGCTAAACTGGCCGTAGTGTATGAGTGAATGCAAGAGTGTATGGGTGTTTCCCAGTACTGGGTTGTGGCTGGAAGGGCATCTACTGTGTAAAACATATGCCGGAATAGTTGTTGGTTTATTCTGCTGTGGGCAACCCTGACAACTAAAAGACTAAGTCGAAGAAAAAATAAATCAATGAATGATATCCTGTAATATTTGTATGGTGTATGTATTCAAGTATTATTCAGAGTATTCTCATTAAGTAGATAGATAATTACATATCATATAGAATAATTAAAACATAATGATACCTTTGATAATACTAAAACATATTATTTCTGTCATGAACACTCTAAGGATTGAGTGTGGTAATGAATATGTATATGGTAATGTCAATATGTTAGGTTGTGACAGTATAGATCTGATATGCTGCTGCTGCTGCTGCTACCTTGATTATTATGGCAGAGCAAATACCGAGATCTGCTACTGCCAGTATACACACAGACATGCTGTCTGAGAATTTAACACGCTGCTGCTGCAAACATAAAAGAAATGTAACTCCCATAGCAGATCTAAACACAGGTGGAGCTGGGGTGGGGGAGTGTCTCGGAAAATGCGCTGCAGCTGAATAGAACAACACGGAGCATTTAAATGATGAAGACCAAGCTCATTGGCTGTTGAAGCGACACCAATCTCCTGTGCCATCCAGTTAATGACCCAGGAGCAAATTAGGTGACCTGTCATCCTGCGCATGCATAGAATTTCATGACAGAAATTGTACCATTGCATTATTATACTTTTCACTTGTTGAATTACAGACTATTTAATAATTATTTATTTTTTAATATACAGTATAACAATTTAATAGTCATTTACTTACATTATGCATATGCTATCATAAAAACACCCAATTATGCCGGTATTATATGCAATTATTATTTATTTTTAATGACTTGTTATTATTACAATAGTGACAGCTAGAGATGCACAATATATCGGCAGCCATATTGATATTGACAGAAAAATGATAATTTTAATGTTATAGATATCGGTCCGATATCAAAATTAAGCCGATATCTTTAAGCCGATAAATTACGTAATTGTACAGAAACTGCTTGCCTTGTAAGCAGGAGAGAATCTTGTGGGAGTGCGATAATAATAGTGTTAAGTGACTAACAATTGTACATTACTGTAACACTTTAATTCAAGAAGATTTAAACTGGTTTCAGTTGTCAGTTCTTTTATTTTCATTTTATTTAAAATATATTTATTTAACTTGTTTGTTAGTTAAATCCAGTTTTGTCATTTAACCTATTATTTTTATGCTGCAGTCAAGTTGCATATTAATTTGCCTTGCAAAAAAAAATAATTACTTTATTTTTGGCATGCTGATTTATGTGAAATTGTGAATAGGTCTATATAATCACCTTGCAATTTGAAATTGTTGTTTTTTTTTAATTATTTTATGGTAACACTTTACAGTAAGGTTCATTAATTAATGCATTTACTAACATGAACTAATCATGAACAACACATGTACAGCATTTATTAATCATAATTGAACATTTACTAATGCATTATTAACATTCTTGTTAACATTAGTTAATGCACCATGAGTTAACATGATAATAATGAACTACTATATTTTCATTATCTAACGTTAACTAACATGAACAAATACAGTAATAAATGTATTGTTCATTGTTTGTTCATCTTAGTAAATGCATTAATTAACATTAACTAATGAACCTTACTGTAAAGTGTGACATATTTTATTATTATTATTTTGTTTGCTTTGAGTAGGCTATTCGAAGATCAGTTTACATCTTTATAAAGTTTTTAAAATAAAATCAGTTGTTCACTGTACAAAAATATATTTTTTTAAAATATTAATATTTATAGGCTAATATATCGGTTATCTGCCTCCAAATTTAAAGATTTATCGGTTATCAGTATCGGCCTGAAAATCCTTATCGGTGCATCCCTAGTAACAACATTATTATTATATTGTCATTTTTTAATTACTACCCCCACCCCCAACCCCCAAAAGAAAAACAAAAAACAAAGCCGTCATATAAGCATGTATAACTCACCAAAATACAACAGCATAGGACTAAGTGATATAGCAAAAATGCAATCTTGATAATTATTTCACATCATGAACAATAATGATATATATTTCGATATAAGTTGGTAATGCTTCCAGATTTAGAAAAGTACCCCAACATGGACTGAAGTTACAAAAATTAGAGGATCTATTAAATGGCATGACTTATTTTCGGCATGACATAAATTTTTTGTGGCTTAAAATTGGGTTCATCTTTATTGGGTTTCCCATTGTTGCAATTCCTGATGTGTGATTGACTCTCAGATCAATATAGAGTGAAAAAGTCCAGAGCTTATCATTTTTATCGACATAAATTTTATCGCGATTCCATATAATATTGTTTATTTGCCCAGCCCTAGCATCAGCACACACACATATAAAGGGATCGCCTGTGTTTAGTGTGCCAGGCGTGCCAGCTGCAACTTTATTCTGGCAACACTCAAGAACCAGCGAGAGCAGTGCGCGCACAGCACAAAGAGCCATTCAGATTGCTGCTGCTCCCGTGTTTCTTTGCCCATTTGTACAATATCAAGATAATGAGATGATCGCAAACGCAGCTGCGGACACCCTTCCATTAAAAATCATATCTCAGTCATCTCTGTTCAAGAAGCATATTAAGAGATTAAACCAGCTTTCCAGACACACGTTTCCAAGCATACATGTATATATACATATATATTTATACACGTCTACAGTGGGCAGTCTTGCTTTAAGACATGTGATGCGTCTCGCTCTCCCACTCGCGAGGCAGTATTGTCATACACACAAGCACACGCTTCTGCACACCAATCAGTTCACCAGAAAGAGGAGAGACTCGCGCTGAGAGCCTTCTCAATGGGAGACAAGAGCTGAGAGACGGAGAGAGAGAGAGAGAGAGAGCGAATGCGCGCAAAGGAGAGAAAGAGGTGCCGTCGCATGTGCAAGACCAAAAAAGTGAAGAGGCAAATTAGCTTGTTATTCCCCCAAAGAAGCATCACCTTCAGAGAGGAGCGTAAGGAGGCTGAGAAGCAGGAGGAAAAAGACATTGCTGATTCTCTGCTGATTTAAAGGTGACATGACAAGCCTCTCGTCCCTCAAAATCCCTGCGAGTTTCTGACAGCGTTTTTGCAGCGGTGACTGGAGTTTCTGCCTGCGCTTCGGGTGGATTGCAGACTTATAAGAGAAGAGAGGAAAAGGGATCAAGGGCAGGAGAAGGGAACAAAAAGGGGAACCAAAAGTGTCCTCGTCTTTCCCTGATCCAAACTGGAACTTTTTTTTTTCTTTCCCAGGGAAGAGCATGGTGGATTTATGATGTTGTGCTGAGGATGTTGGACGAATATTGACCACACGTTGCTTTAACGTTCTTCTGACTGTGGTTCACAGGTAAGACTGTAGGATAGGTGTGATTAGGTTTGGGTGTGATGAAAAGAAGAGGAAGACTGAGAAAGTGAGCAGGCATGTGCGATGAACTTGAATAGGCACTTTTAAGGATGTGTTTGGAGGTGTTGGTAATTTGGCTGTGTGCTTATGGAAGATGCTAAGAGTTGACAGTTTCAATACGCTGCAGATCACATGAGCTTAGAGGATTTTGTGCTTCGAATCCTTTCTAAGCTCGGGGCTTCTGCTGTGGCACAGGTGAATGGGAGACTGACTATATTTTATATATAAAAACAGCTGTGTTCTGGAGTGATGGCACAAGTAGGAAAAAGCAAATATGGAGGAAGATGCATTTTTATTTTTCTGAGCTTGAAATGTATGAAAATACACAGAGAATGTATAATAAGTATTATTATGTAATTATTAAAAAAATAAAATAATAATTGTATGTTGTTATTATTTTATTATTATTATTATTATTATTATTATTATTATTATTATTATTATTATTATTATCAATAACATTGTTGGTTACAAATAATTGATATATAAAATTTTTATAAGTTCATTATTATTATTATTATTATTATTATTATTATTATTATTATTATTATTATTATTAGTAATAATATTGTTATTATTTATCTATTGATAATAATAATAATAATAATAATAATAACATATTGTATATATTTTAATTAATTAATATTATCAGTAGCTGTGTGTAACAGTTTTCAGATAAAAATATATTATTATTATTATTATTAGTAGTAGTAGTAGTAGTAGTAGTAGTAGTAGTAGTAGTTGTGTTAGAAATATAAAGGTTTTTTGGATAAAAAGTATGATAATAAAAATAATGATAATAAATTGTATTTCATTGTTATTTTAATTTATTAATAATATTATTAGTAGTTGTATTATAAATATAACAGTTTTTTCTTGGATAAAAATGTTTAATAATAATAATAATAATAATAATAATAATAATAATAATAATACAAATAATAATAATAATGAGTAACATAATAATTAAAAATGACAATCATAAGAAATTATAATAATCCAAGTCAAATGGTCCAAATGTCCAGGCACATTGTTTTGAGTGTGCTGAATATCCTGCGGTGTTCGTGTGCAGGTGTGTCTGAAGACAGTGATGAGCATGCGGACCGTAAAGTAGAACATGTAAAATCATCCAAGCAGATGATTTATCAGATCAATGCTTTAATTATACGACAGCTGTGAGCACCGACTCCCAACCAAAGCTGCCCATGAATAACCTGCAAGAATCTCACGGAGGTGACCGACTTATAAGATCACCTGCAAAATAAAAGATGCAACAGAACACATTCAATAGGATTTGAGATTTCAGTGACCTTCTAAAATTTCACCATTTACCCTTTTTTAGTTTGTTTGTTTGTTTTTTAAATATCTTTTACTGTGGTTGCATGTTAATAATGTAAAATCGATTGTATATGTTAAATCTGCTGAATAGTGTTGAAGACGAGAAAGTTTTTAAGACAGTTTGCCAACCAGGGAGAGAATAGGCACTCCTCTGGGAACAGTTCACATTTCCACAAACTGTGGATTAAGGAGGGTTTAGTTGAGCAAAGGGGATTACAATGTGCTGTTAATAATTATATGCTTAATTTTGGGGCTTGATGAATATTCATTGGAAATTTCAATGTCATTTGAGGGTACACTGTGTGATGCTCCCCTGTCAGCTTGAAGAGTACAGGAGAACTCAGATGTGTCATCCATTAATTAAACACTGTTTGCCATTTAAAGTGATGGAGATTTATTTAATATTTAGCAGTTTTAGTCGACTTGAGCTGAGAAGTAATTTAAAAGTGTTAATAATGAGAGAAATGTCAGCGAAATGTTGTCGATTTGAAGCCAGACAACACTTGGGTTGTTTAAATGCACAATTCGCAAAAAAAGTTTGTGTGTTTCAATGTCAAGGGTTATTATTAGCATAATTTTGTCCTTATTGTTTTGATGTTCGCCAATGTTAAACACACGGAAGCGACGGTATATTCAATATTTAATATATATTTAGTATTAAATATTTAGGATAACCATTGTTATTTTTTTAATGTTTTTATTCTTTATCCTCATCATCATCATCATCATCAATGCTGATATTATTATTATTATTATTATTATTATTATTGTTGTTGTTATTATTTTAAATTGCTCTTTCGTATTTTATTTAATTTTATTGTATTTTTTCATTCTCTTACACTTTTTTATATTTATTTTAGTTTTAGTTGTTTTTACAAATGAACTTATATACAAACAATTAAGAGACCGTCAAAAAAATTCTCAGCTTCTTATAAAGTATTTTTTTATCGATAGTAGAGAAATATAGAAAATGTTTTAACTTTTTGTGATTTAAAAAAAGTACTGTTATTCCTCTAAAAATTGCTTTCTCAACTCTCCTAAGGTTAAAATGTGTGTATTGTGTTGACAAACAATTATTATAAACGTAAAAAAAAAACTACAGTTCCAAAAAAAAAAATATATATATATATATATATATATATATATATATATATATATATATATATTTATGCTATAAATAAAAACAAAACATTTCATGTGTAGTTTGCAGAACTAAAACAAAAACCTTTAAGTATAAATCCAAGTAAACTGATAATTTTCAAGCGGCCTCTTAATTGTTTCCATATAAATATGTATGGATATACATATAGAAAAGCAGTCATAAGGGAACTCATTTGGTTTGTGTTCCTATCTCACACTACTGATCAATCCAAGGTTATGCATTAGTTATGAAAGAACTCACCATAACCTAATGCACATACATAAAAAAAAAAATAACAAGGCCATTCCCTTAAGACTAATTACTGCAGTTTTAAGAACATCTAGATACCATTCAGTGGCTAAAGTGACCATATTGTACTTTACCTGTTTATTTACAGCTGCTATGTCATTTTTAATTTATACAGACTATAATAAAAGCCACAGTGTGAAATAATATTTGGCTAATGGTGAGGGCTGAAATAGGATGTGCATGTAGGTGTGTGTCAGATAGAATAACCGTTGGGCTTTTATCTTCTGTCTTTGATGTGTTCTCTCTTCAGCCGGTGCTCCTGCCATGTCCTGGCTCCTGTGTCTGTGGATAAGTGTTAGCTGCTTACTGCTCTGTCACGCCACTTTATACGAAACCATCCAGCAGCATCATGTGACCCGTCCGGGCCGAAACGCCATCCAGATACTGGGTCAGTGTCTTGCTTAAATCTTATGCGCTTGCTGTTTTCCTCTGCTGCTTGCGGAACTTTGTGTTTTGTGGTTTTTTGCTCAAGTTTCACATTTGCGTTTGAGATCGTGGCTTTGTTGCTATCATAATTGAGCTCTTGTTTGTTTGTTTTGTTTGATGTCACAGTTTTTGGCGTCCAAATGCTATATCGGATATTGAAAACTTATGCTCACAGTGTACTATTGATCATAACGTGTTTAGAGCTGCACAATTAATCGAAGGTGATTTTATGCGCATTTTGTCAGTAAAGCCAGATCTGTAATCAGTATTGATGGGCCTGTGAAGTGCTTTAAGATGTTCATTTTTATTCTATGTTTGATATAACCTCAACTGAAACAGAAAGACAGGGCGGAGCAGAGAGTAGCTCCTCCTTCTGTTCAAACAAAACCAATAGAATGTTTATATCACAACTTTGTTGGTCAGAGCTGTTGATAAAACTCATTTCAAATTGACCAACGTTATTGAGTTCAGAAAAAAACAGTTTGGATGCTGTTTATTATTTTATATTTGAAAGCATTTGAATGAATAACATACTTCATCAGCAGTAGCACCTTGATGCTAGAGAGCATTTGATTTGTCGTAAAATTTTGATTAACTGAAGTTAGGGTTGTAACAATATACCGGTATGACGGTCTACCACGATTTGAACGTGCACGATTATCATACCATGAACAATTGCATATCAACGGTTTTAACTCTTAAAGACCGAGACAGCCGCCCGCGGCTAAAAATAAGTATTGCTCTTAAATGTTTCATAACTTTTAATCCTCTGATCCGATTCATACAATTCAAAGATTGGCATAAAGAAGAGAACACAGCTTTCCAGTGCTGTATCACATAACATTCACGGACTTTCAGAGACTCCGGAATCAGTGAGGTTACGTCATCAAAATTTGACAACGCTGATTTGACAAAGAAACGCTCGTCACTGTGTCTCCGGACAAACCAGACATGATACATTGATGCATGGTCCCTCCTCCATGCCCAGATTGGTTCAAACTCGCTATATCACAACCAATAAGCATAGGTTTCGCTTTTGTTTGTGGACGAACAACGAGCTTTTTGAACAACACGGATTGAGAGATAGGCATACATTTATGCGCGGCTAAATAAAACGCAAAAAAAGAGTTTTGCATGAAATAATTCTCATACTAAGTACTTTTGCATGCACAGCAGCACAGAAACATGACAAAACAGTGACAGCAAAGACAAACTGCTGCTCTTGCTGTTTTCAAAAGAAGCAAATGAAGGTGCAGCTGTTTGTCTGCATTGCAGACAATCATATCCAAATCCATATCCACAGACAACCATATCCATGCTGGCACATAAAACCTAAGGATGTTCCATATTGAATCTAGTTTCGTTATGTAACTATTTATAGTATAGTAAATATTTATATCGATTTTTTTACTGAGGATTTGCACCATGTTTATTTGGACTTTATTTGGACTTTGACACATTATTTATTATTTTCTTATTTTTTTATTTGTTCATTGTAAGTGGTGTTGTTTATAGTAACTGAAAATATATTATTTGGAAAAAGTCAAATTTGCTTCACTGTTCTATTATTTTGTAACATTTGTAACATACCGTATACCGCCAAACCGTCAAACCGTGGTATTGTTTTAGACGATTATCATACCGTAAAAAATTCATACCGTTACAACCCTAACTGAAGTACGAGTTGACTTCAAAGAATATTTTGTCAAACCTACAGAAATGAATGTTTATTGTTCTAAATGTCAATTTTGTCACTGTTTTGGTGCACACTAGCTATCGTAGATTACCTTAAAGCTAACATATTGATACTAACTCGTACAATTTTTTTTACACATTTTACAAGAAAATATAATTTCAGGAGAGGTGTGATTGACTTTAAATCGTAATCATATGCTCTCAGGTGAAGCAATGTTTAATGCCATAATTCGCTAAAAAAAATCGTGGACAATTTAATCAATAAAATCCTAAAAATAAAATATCATTCTGCAATTTGACAGTTGTTTGCTTCACTTCTAGTTGAACAATGCTCTATGTTGCTGCTACATCTTAAACATGTGAACATGTTTTTACTCCAGACTAACCTTATACATTGTAAAACCCAAAAAGTTAAGGTAACCGGATTGCAACAATCCATTTAAGTTCAAAAACTAATCCTTATGAGTAAAGTGAACTTATAGTACGAGTAAACGAAGCAGTTTGAGCAAGTAAAATCCGATAAATGAAGAGAACTCAAACCAACTGAGCACTGTAAAACCCAATAAGTTAAGGCAACTTAAACCGTTTGAGGAAACTAATTGCTACAAACCGTTTGAGTTAAACTAATCTGTATGAGTACTGTGACCTTACTCCATTGAAGTTGAAGTAATGAGGTATTTAATTAACTCATCACCTACAAAACTCTTTTCAAAAGAGTAGAATTAGTAAATTTTCAGTAAATTGAGTTAACTTCACTCATTTCATTTGATACAGTTGACTGTTGAGTTTTACAGTGTAGCTTTAGCCGAGTGTTTGATATAAATCATTCTGCATTCATGATGATTGCATAGTCATTTGTCATGGCGAATCAACAAATATACTTAAATCCTCTGATCTGTTTCATTTCCTTTGTCCATTCTTTGTGTCATATTTGAAGTTTCAACACGAAAGCGCCTTTTGGCTTTTGCAGGAGACTTATTAGTGATCACAGAGCCATGCTTTCCTGACAAGATGTGCATGAGAATCAGGAAAGAAGCAACTTTTGCTCAATCACAGTTTATATTCGATTAATCATGCAGACCTATTGTTTATATCTATGACCAACCTCAGATGGTCAGATGATGATTCATCTTTTTTTAAATCATAAAACTGTTGGTGTCTGGGATATGCAGAATGTCCAGAGACTGTAGTGTTCATTAAATTTTACTTCAACGTGGGATATGACTAATGAGTGCTCATAAATGACTTTTGAGATCTACAGTTTTTTCAGTTCAAAAGAGTAGAGGTTTAGACCCAGAAACAGAAACTACTGCATCAAAAATTTAAAGTGATAGTTCACCAAAAACTGAAAATTTTGTCATCTTTTACTCACCCTTCAAATATTTAAGCTGGTTCATTCTGTTAAACACAGAAGAAGGTATCTTTAAGAATGCTAAAAATACTGTAACAATTGACTTTTTTTCTATAATGGAAGTGTTTTCTATAATGGAAGTCAATGGTACAGGTTTTTAGCTTTTATCAAAATATCTACTTTTGTGTTCAACAGAAGAAAATAAAATCACAAAGGTTTGGAACAACTTGATGGTGAATAAAATGTGAGTAAATTAAATTTTTGTGTGAACTATCCCTTTAACAGGCAAAATAAAACATATGATAGACAGGTCATATCATCTTCTGTCCTTATGCTCCACCTCGGTTGTGAGTTGGAAAGAGATCTGCCTTGAAATCCAGCTGAGGATGCTTTGCGAGTGGCTTTTTTTTTGCGTTGTGAGTTCTCCAGACTGCAGTGGTAGAAATCTTCCATGTGCGAGACAGGCTTGAGGCTAAACTCTCCTATCAGCATGCTGCGAATACAAGCAGCTTTGATCACAGAGACTCTGGTGGAAATGACAATTTACGTCTATCGCCCGCTCTATGGAAGTATTTGGCAATTAAGCAGTGTTTTGCTATGAGGGCCGGCGGGAAAAGAGACAGCAAGGTGGGTCTTCCTTCAACACTAAGTATGCAAATAGAAGAGATGTGGCAGACTTTCAAAAGCCTAGATAGAAGAAACTCCAACGCAATTTAACGTTAGATCCCTGTTTGCTTATTAAATATTTGCAGTGTCTTGTCCTTATAGATTATGTAGTAAATGCATTCGTTACTTCATTAATATCGATATAGCATCTCGAGTAGAAAAAACGAGGCACGCTAGGAGTCCTGCTATTGCGTAGTCTTGAATTACTGCAAACTTAAACTCATCTATTTTTGATTTCAACCATAAATTTGCATAAGCGAGAGAGCTTCACATTTCGGAAAGCACTTTAGACTCATTAATCCAGTAGAAAAGTGTGATGAATGTCAGAAAGACCCGGATGAATTTTTAACAACGTGCTTCCAGGTTTTTATCCAGCCCAATAGAGCACATATATTCGGACATGTACAAGGAAAAGTGTGCCTCATAGTAAGTGTTTGCTGAATTATTTAAAGGGTCGACTGAACAACAAAAAAGAAATCACCCCCCACTCTTTGGAATATGGAAAAGTTATACAAGAATGCGTGTAAGAATTCACATCTCTGGTGTTAGGAAGGCTGAGAAGGGCTTGGTAATGGAGGGTTGTAGCTTTTAAACACGCAAACCACGCTTGCATGCGTCCATATTGAAGACATTTTGCCTTGTTTTGCTGAAGCGCTTATGGTTTGGCACATGTTTCCTCTGGGAAAGCCTAACAGAATGGAGGGAAAAGCTGATTGGGACAGTGGGTTTGTGGTGTGCAGCATTTTTCAATGTAGTCATGAAAAGCCATAGCTAAAATGCACAGGAGCCATAAACAAAGATGTTGGGTGATACTTTATATATATATATATATATATATATATATATATATATATATATATATATATATAATAAAAATATATATATATATATATTTAATTTTTTTTTTTTTTTTACTGTTTTTCAGTTGTATTTGCCATGCTTTAACGTTGTGTCCGTTGTCAGTAACTTACTGATTTAGAACATCTAGGGTAAATTTCTTAGATTAGTCAAGTTTGGTGAAGAAAAAAAAACATGGTTTGGGGTTAAATTTAGTATAGGGGTGCCCAAAAGATCTGCAGAGTGGATGGCAGCATCAACAGCCTAAGGTATCAAGATATTTGTGCTGCTCAATACATTACAAACCACAGGAGAGGGCAGCTTCTTCAGCAGGATAGCACTTTTTCTCACACTTAAAGCAAAGAAGGTCAAAGTGCTCCAGGATTGGCCAGCCTAGTCACCAGTTTGAACAT